TTTTTGGTTACATTTATATTTTCAAAAAATTCATTTTCCCAGCATATTCCTGGTAATCATGATTCCTAGGCATAATATTTTTTCTCCTCTACCAAATGCCCCTAAAGTAGTTAAAGCATACTTGATTATATCACAACAATTATGGTTTCTTGATGCCTTTGAATTTTAGGATTGATGGTCTTCTTTAGTCAAATCACTAGAGTGCGAATTCTTGTTTGGAAGTTATCTCTTAATGGGGAAAGGAAATTTTTCTAATTCATTTAACATATTGGGGACCATATCTCTTTTTCTGATTTCTTATCATTGGGCCCACCAGGCTCTCATTATACCTTGTTGAGCTAATGTGGGTATACACTCATTTAATATATACTCATTGTGAACTCTAATTAGATTCCTTAATAGATCACTTAATTTGCTAAATAGTATAATATGATATAATTGATAATTAAATATGTAGCCCACAATAATGTAAAAAATAAAATTTACAACAATTTTAAATTTAACAAATTATGATCAAATCCAAGTCCAAATGAAGTTACAGATATCATTGTGATTTATTCGGCAAAAAAGGAAAATAATAAATTTGGTGTGATTTTGAAATATAAGATTTAGTACGTGTTTGAAATAATTTAATTGAATGTTTTTTAAGGTAGTTCTCATTATATTTATTTTTAATATTCTAAATTTTGAATTGATTTGTAATTAGTCTATAAAAGGGTGCTTAATACCTTAATTGTAAGAGCTGAATATTTTATTATTTTGGTAATTATAATTTAGAATCGAAGGGTTATTCTTTTATTAAATTACAATTTCTATTTAGTCACATTTTCTATACGCTTTCAGCAATCCAAAACATGAATTTATTTTTATATGAAAATATTAATATGATTGTCTTACACTTTTAAAAATAATTCAATCACATGAATTGGATAAAAAAAAATGGGGTCGAATTGGACTATTTTATTTATTTATACTCGAAACTGGTTCTAAACTAGAACCAATTTCAAACAGTCATCACCATCACTTGAATAGTTGGTAGAAGAGGAAGGAGAAGAAGTAGTGGAGGAGGAGGAAGTTGGTGAAGAATCGAGATCCAAAACAAAGGAGAAGAGTAATCTGGCACCGGAAGCAATAAAACGTTCAGAACATATTGAATGAGTCACTTATGTGTGAGGTTTTACTGGCTCAAACACTAAATGATTTTGGCACTGATTTAATCGAAATTAGGGTTGATGATTTTTTTAATCAAATTTAGGAGAGTTTGAATGGAAAAGTGGTTAGGGTTTATGAGATGTAATTTCAACCTCAGAAAGAGAATGAAGAATATTATGAAGTTTGTTTTTGAAAAAGTTTGGTTCGAATAAAATAGTTCGAACCATATTTTGAATCGAGTCAAAACTGAACTGTTTTTAAAAAATAAAATTGGTTGAGGTTTTAGAATTGAAATTTTAAAACCAATTCTTTTAGTTTAGCTCAGTTATTTATTCAATTCAATTCTTTTAGTTTTTTTGCACACCCCTAAATTGGTGAGAGTATAGTCAAAGTAATTTTGAAATTATTGTGTGAGCCTACAAAACTAAAAATACAATAACTTTGATCTTAAAGGATTATCTTAGTAGTAGATGAGTATGTAATATATAAGGAGACACTTGATCACAATTTCAAACTCAATTATGCTAATTGCTAGTTGCTTGATTCAACTAGGGAGGTAAATATGTTGAGTTCGACTAAACTTAAGTTTAAAGGTTTAATGAGTATAATGTTACATGATGTAAGAAATTTTTCCTACACTCGCAATAAAGAAGAGAGATAAAGTGAAATAATGAAAGAGAAAAAAAACATGTGGATCCCACCTCTTAGTTGTGTGTGTAGAAAAATTTTCTTGGGTCATGTAACATTATACTCATAAAACCTTTAGTTTAAATAAATTATATTTATGTAAAATATTTTAAGTCTGACATAACTTATTAACTTAATGTAGGCTAAATTAATTGTATGACATGACTTACTATTTTCGCAGTTACAGCTTGGTTAATTTGAAAGTGGAGGAATGACAAGGTACATAGACGTCGAAGCCTACACAATGTATACAATCAAAATTTTACAACTTGCCAAGCAAATGAGATTTGGGTTGTTGCAAACAGAAGAATAAACGACGAGCTTGGTATAAGAAAATAATAGGCCTCAATTGCCTGGCAGTACCTGAATATGGTTTAGGTTAAGCTCAATACAGATGGAGCTGCCAAGGGAAATTTGGGTCCAGTAGTGTGGGGGGAGTGTTAAGAGATTGCACACTCTAATGGTTGAATAGTTTCTTCTATCGTGTTGGCCATTGTAGTGTTGTTATGGCATAATTATGGGGAATCTTGAAAGGAATTCAGTTGGCATGGGAAGGAGGCTGAAGAAAGGTGATTATAGAAAGTGACTCTGCAATTGCAGTCACGTGACTTACCACAAAGAGTGACCCAGCCTGTGAGTCTCATCTTGTTACTCGCATACATGCTTGGATGGACAAAGAATGGTCAGTAAAGGTAAAACATACGTACAAAGAAGAAAATTGCTGTGCGAATTTGTTCTCAAACCTTTTGTTGATATATCTGGCACTAGAGGTGCCAAAACAGGTCAATCCACCCTGACCCGCCAAAAGCGGGGCGAGGCGGGTTAACCCGCCATTTGATGGGGGGGGGGGGGTTGGAACCCACCCCATTTCGAGGTAGGTTGGCGGGTCAACCCGGCTAAAAAAAATAAAATAATTAAAAAATAATAATAAATTATATTTTTGTTAGTTTTATAATATTATTTATTTTTATTTCACATTCCCCTTAATTTTTTTTCAATCTCAAACCTAAATATAAGCTAATATTCAGTCAGATATTTTTTAGAAACTTATTTTTGCCTCTATATATGGATAACCTTTGTTATAAATAAAGTTTTTCTTCTTTATTTTTCTAGGAAAGTACTAAAAAAAAAATTCATATCATAAAAGCTTAGTGACAAATAAAATACTATTTAAGTGTAAAAAAAACAGAAGCTGACCCACGGGCCAACCCGCTCCGACCCGCCACCAACTTATTTTGACCCATAACTAAACGGGGCGGGTTGGTGGGTTGAAAGGTATAACCCAACCTGCCCCGTTTTGGCAGGTTGGTGGGTTGATCCGTCGGGTTCAACCCATATGGCCACCTCTATCTGGTACAAGAAGACCGTTAGGTGATTTTGATAAAACTTGTTGTATTTATTGATGAACCTTTACTTAACGACTTAAGTTGTTGGGTTAAAATGGTTGACTTCTTAAAAATAAAAAACTAAATCATGGCCATACATTTTAATTTTTTTTTGGTAGTCTAGCCATACATTCCTTTTTATTGTTAGCAGAAGTATGCTCAAAGTATTGTTTTTGAAATAATATATAATTATGTTTATTGTAAACAAATTTTAAATCACGTTTATTATTTACTGAAATAAACAAAAAATAATTTACAAAATATTCCAACATGATTCAGTGACAAAGCAGCCCATATAGATATTAAATAATATAACTACACGATATTTTTTTATATAAGAAGATTCAAATTCGTTTATAATGATAGTTCAATTTCATTACAAAACAAAAATAAATGTCTCATAAATTTATGAGATATAGTGAATATATTTTGCTTATATAACAGTACAAGGATTGGACTATAATTACCAAGTTATATTCTTTTGTAGTTATTTAAGAACCTTTACTACAAGGCACAAAAAAACAAAAACAAAAAGGTAAACTTGGAAAATTCAAAATGGAAGAAGAGAGGGGATAAATTCAAGTTACCTGCGTTGACCATTACAAAAAGGACCCGCACCATGAATATTTATCATATGAGTGTTATGTTGGGGCCCTCGAAGTTGAAAACGATGGAAACCATATCCATCAATCGCCACATTCACAAGCGACAAAACACAGCTCCATACAGATTACATCATTGGAATATACAACGCTCTTTCCAAGCATATGGCGAGAATATGCCATCATTGCACCTCAAACCTACATATTAAGTAAGAATGGTCACAAAAGGATAACAATTATCAAACAACACTCAACTTCTTATAATTAATCAAAATCTTAATATGACACGTGCATATGGAATTGTCAAGCATATTACACAATGTCCGTGCATGTTATAAATCAAAATAAGAAAATAAATTTTGTTCCCTCTCATATTATGACCGTACTTCAATAGCAACCATTGGTTTAAGCAGAGTTTAAGTGGAGAAATTTAAAAAATAAATAAATATTTCCTTCTTGATTTGAGTAGAATATACTCCCTCCTTCCATTTTTATGTGTAGTTTTAGAATTTTTTTTTAATCTCAATTGCATAATAAATATAGAACTATGGGACCTCTTACTAAAATTTTCCTTCTTTATCTACGTAGAACATGGTCCCTCCTTTCATTTTTATTCGCAGTTTTAGAAAAGCTTTATATATATATAGTTTTAGAAAATTAATAAAGTACTAATTTTTTAACTTTATTCCTAATAAGAGAGACAAGAATAATAGAATAATGACACTAATATGTTAAGTATTAATTACTTTTGCTTATAAGTGAAATTATTTAAGTAACTTTTGTTGCTTTGAAAGAACGATATAAAACTTTCTGTTTTGATCTCTTTAGTTCAAGCATTCTTGGTAAATTTTTTTTAAAAAAATATTATTTTTAACCGTATATATGTTCTGTTACATTTTAAAATATAAAAAACATTAAATATAATCAAATTGTTATACTCGTCTCGTTCTATCAAACTCTACCTTAATGGCTTTCTTAATTCTTCTGCAATTATCTTGTATAACAAATAAAAAAGAATGTAAGGAGTACATACAAATAAAGTTTAACTTAAATGACATACTGTAACATCATTTAATGAATTCAATATCTCATGATTTGTAAAACTTATTAAATGATGTAGTAATACTACATTGAACAACAGTGTAAAATTAGTTTACACTGACATTACAGCGAAAGTAAAGTAACAAGAATAACAGTTTACACAACCAATAGAATCTCATTTTCTTCGAAATGTAAATTGTGTATAGAGAGAATAAATTAAAGGCTATTCTTATTACACCAAACGTCTCTCTTGTTTTGAAAGCGACACTTCTATCCCTTACTTTATCTATTCTTACACCTGACACATAATTCATGCCCCCGATCACCAACGAGCGCCAACTAATCCGAATTCGAGCCGGGCATGATCATAGGGACATGATCACAGGGACGACATAACTTTTCTTACCAAATTTTAACACAGCTACATACTCTCAGGACAAATAGTTCATTTAGAGGTGCCTTCAAACTGATCTCTCAGTTGCTCGTACTTCTTAAGCTCAGCCATGGAGAGGGAAGGTGGCAGCTCTCCCAAGACCTGAAAAATTCAGGAAATGCCACTCAGACAATTAGATACTAGAAACAGTTGGGAAAGCAATTGATGGAGAAGTTGATAACTCTGCATTTAGAGTGTTACAGTTTGATCCATGGGTAACCGGATTTATCAAGAAAAATTGCAAGTTACCTGCACAAAATCATTGTATTCAACAACAACAGAATCTGCTTCATTATCTTGGCTGGTAGACTCTGGATTTGCACTCAAAACCTAGAAGAAAGCACCGAGGTTAGGTAAATGATGCTTATTTTTGTAAAACATTTTGGTTTCTGAATACTTGCATTTCCTACGAGAGCAATTTCTTTTATAAATTGATTGTCCTCAGTCATCTCAAATAACATAACAGGCCTAATATCAAACAGAATGCACAAAAAGTAATCATGGGATCCAGTGATCCTGGCCGGACTTACCTTGCGCTTTGCAGCATGGAACCAAGCATCAGCACACAAGGCATACATGTCTGCACCAGTGAAGTTTGGTGGACATTTTTTTGCTATAGAGTAAAGTGAAACATCTTCATGCAATTTAAACTTTCGGGTAAGAGCTTTCAGGACCCTGAAAAAGATGGAGATCAGAGGTGCACAATAAGCATGTTATCAACAATAGATACTAAACAACAGAGCTTGAAAAGCAGACAGCTTACCGCTCCCTGTAAGATGCATCAGAGTTAACTCCAACGTATAGCAGTTTATCAAATCGACCAGGGCGCAAAAGTGCTGGGTCTATCAAATCTGGTCTATTACTTGCACCTATAATAAATAGATCCTATTAAGCCAGCAACAGAGACACCACTTGTTAGAAGCAAAAAATAGGATAATATGTTTTGGTAAAAGATAAATATTTCAAGCAAATAATAAAAAAAAAACCTGTGTTGAATCACTTAAGCCGTCAATCTCCGCAAGCATCTAATAACAAAGGAAGTATATTGCCTTAGCAAACCCAGAGAAAAAATCTGCAAATATCACGGTCTTGCTCAGAAAAGGAAATCACCTGAGAAACCACTCTGTCCATTACCCCCCCAGAATCTCCAGAAGCACCCCGAGCTGGTGCAAGAGAATCAAGCTCATCAAAGAAGATGACACATGGACGCGCAGATCTGGCCTGTGAATTATATTGAAGTTCACTTTATCAAAATCTGTTCTGAAAACTGTGTAGTGTGCAGGCAATAGACACACACAGAGACATATTCCATTCAACTTAAGAAATTATTTAGATCAAAGCAACCAAATATTATTATACCTTCTGGAAAATTTCTCTAACATTCTTCTCGGACTCTCCTATGTACATGTTGATCAGTTCAGGACCTTTTACACTAAGAAAATTTAAGGAACATTCTGTAGCAACAGCTTTTGCTAATAATGTCTGACATTAAATAAAAAAGCTTTTGTTAAGTAAAAATTAAGAAAACAGAGATTAAATATTTTCATTTACAGGTACTTTACCACTTACTTTGCCAGTTCCAGGGGGACCATACAAAAGAACACCAGACCGCTTACGTAATCCAGCTGAAAACAGATCTTTATGCAGGAGAGGTAACTAAAATATGAAATACGGAATGAATCAGATATTCAGAAAATGACAGACATTAACAGTATCTCCAAGATAACATATGATTTAGTAAGATAAATATCAAATTAGAGAAGAAACAACCAGGATAATTTTCTATAAGTGACTTGAAAAAGAAGTATATATTATTTGACATTCAATAGAAAGAGCCAACATAAGCAGTAAGAGTTGACAGTGGAGGAAAAACGCATGATTTTTAATGCATTTTTGAAAGGATCCTATCATTCTGCTCTAAGATGATATAGCAGAAACTGTCTATTCAATCTCCTTTAAGCAGAATTTAGTCTCATAGCTTTCATGTTGAACTTTACGAGTGAATTACATTCAAATTCACCTGTCACTCACCGAAAGCACCTTCTATCTATCTTCTTTAATTTTTATTATCATACTGGAATGTAACCTAAAATGAAATTTGACTAAGTTAGCTTATGAAATATGACAACCTAGTATATCTTATGAAATGTTGACCATATAAACATAACCAGAAGTTACTATTTCCACCAATATATTTTCAAGTTGCTGTGACAGACATTGTCATGATATAGCAAGCAGAAATTTACATAACAGGGTGGAGTGCGTCTAAATGGGGGAAAAAAGAATTAACAATCAATACAGTTATGCTATACAAGAAGCCCACCTGAACAGTATCCAGGATTGATTTTTTGACATCTTCAAGCCCACCAACGTCTTCCCATTTCACATTTGGAACCTGTAAAAAAAACCATATTTAAAATTTTTCATGCATTGGATAACATTTTCTCCCGCAAGACATGTTATGTGCTAATGTATACACTTATTGGCAATAAAACAATAGTAAATTGTTATAGATTTTGAACGCTACTCAATGCAGATGAGAAAATCATCATAAAAGCCTGATCACTTGATTTACCTTTGGAGTGCCCAATGCTGATGCATTTCTTTTCTTTGATCGTTCCAAAGCATTCATTAAGTCTTCTTTCCCAGGAATATGAGGTGAGAATTTCAAGTGATTGTTGTCCTCCGTCACCTTGGAAATTAGAGAACCATCTACATCATCAGGTCCATCTTTGTCTGCTTCAACATTTCTCCTGGGAAATAAGTTTGCACCAGCATCAGCAATTAAGGCACACATATCCCTAGGCATGAAACCAGATGTCTGTCCAACTATTTCTTTTACAAGACCCTCTGAATTAGTCTGCAAGAAGCAACAATGTGATTTGTCAAAGTTAACATACAAAGTAATGATCAGGGACTCAGGAGCACAAATTGTAGCAAAGTGCCTGTCTTAATAATTTCAGGGATATAACATGTAACATCTATACTATTATACAAAGGATGTTCCTACATTTGGTATCTTATTTTTTCTCCTTTTCCTAAAAGCCCAGCATTATATTTTTACCTGAGAAGAGAGGAAAAATTTAAATTCCCAAATAATCACATGGCACCACCTGTACACCCACTCCCTACTTTTATGGAACTTTTTTTTTTATCATGATTGTTTTCTTTTACAAATTAGTTTTAAGTCAGTTTTCATTCAGAATTTTAAAATTTAGAGACAGATTTGTCATCACAGGTGCCGCTACTAGTCAATTTATGAACACACACACACACACACACACATATATATATATATATATAGGGTAGGATCAACTTACACCGATATAAGAATAATAAATCTTACACCAAATCTTGACCATTGATTTTCGAGCATTTAACGGTTGAAATTTATTTGAAATTAATAATTAATTAATGAGTGTGACCCAATAAATTACAATCGTTAAATGCATGAAAATCAACGTTCAAGATTTATTATTCTTACATCGATGTAAGTTGATCCTGTATATATATATATATATATATATATATATATATATATATATATATATATCAAAAGAAGGTATAAAACAAGAGGAAGCTCCATTCCACACCTACATTAGAGAGTAGATCAGAAACACTTTGCAGTGACTGGAATAGCATTTCAGCCCTTTGTTCTTCAGTCAAAGGCCCCATGCTTATTTCATGGCTAAAGCAGCGTCTGATAGTTGAAGGTAGACCTTCTGAACTGTCAGCAGCAGCAATCAACAGGACCTGATGACCACTTGTCTTTTCAGCATTCTTCTCCACCTTCACCAGCATGTTGTAAAAGTTATCTTTGCAATTCTAGTTAAAAAATAAAAGGCAACTCTAGTGCTTGAGCTTTTGCCAATCTTGATTTGGATTTAACCATTAACTGGTCTAATGAAAAAAGACATTGTGACATATATATGGGTTTATATATATTCTTTAACATTTTATGAAGAACAGAATCTTTTGGTCTTAAAAGGGGAAATTTTGAGTGCACATTGCATACTAAAGGCCACTTTCTGCAAGATGTATCTTATTCTTATTAAAGTATATTCCATGTCACTTGACAGTACTTTTTCACTAGAAAGAAACAGTCAGTTTTAGAAGCTTGTATCTCCAGCAGAGAGGTTGCCTCCACTTATTAGAGCTCCCAGAAGCTAATTCCTTTTCATCACTCATCTTTTCTATTATAGAAACTGCTATTATTGCTTAATGGTTATCTAGTCTGTCTGCATCTTTTCATATTCACTTGTTGTACTTCTTTATCAGATTTGCAACATGAGTAAGATATAACGTTTGAGATGTGCAGACAAAAATATTAATAGAAAAAGTTACAGTCCAAAGAATAGTGATAGCAATAGCAAAATTCAACCAAGTTAAATCTTACAAATTCACCGTTTGATTTTCCCAGGGAGTTACCATCACCATGTTCACAAATTGGCTCAGTGAATTTCCTAATAACTGATGCAACTTCAGATGTATTGCCTCTTTGATCATTTAGTGAACCTTCAAGCGAATGGAAATCTCGAAAAACATCAAAATGACGTAGAAGAAGTACTGTCGGCGAGTATCTGTTACAATATCATTCCATAAGTGCAGACTAAAAGCTTAGAGAGAAAACATATCCAAAACAGTAAACTTCTCAGAGCCTGACATAACTAAGTGATCAGGTAAGTGAACCAAGTAAAGCCTGAAATCTAATAAATGTTAAGTGGAGAGAAAAACCACTAGGGTGACAAAAAAGGACGTGAACAAATGAATGAACCATGCCAAAACAAAAATTGTGCAGGAACAAAGTTCCCAGTACAATGTGTGTTCTTATCATTCCGAATATTCAAATTATAACCTTTGAGCCGTCTTGAAAGCTTGAGCTAGAGCAACAGATGTTCTATCAGCCATCATTAGATCATGACAGTTATATTCCACCACATGCAGGCCCAGTCGACGAGCAACATATCTAACGACAGTCCTTTTCCCACAACCTGCATAATTATGTCGTTCAGGAAATACAATAAGCACCATCAATGCAATCCAAAACCACCATTTATTTGAAACTTTCAATCCATTTATAAATATTTTAAATAAACAACAACAACTGAGGATATCAAATGGTGATTCAAATCACAAATAATTTTATGAAGAATAGGAAAAAGTACTGATTCCTTTAGAAAATAAAGCAGGGCAATATAGAACACACCTGCCAAGCCATACAATAGAACTGAAACTCTAAACTTGGAAGAAAGCACTGATGGACAGAAAGTTGGTGTAAGTATCGAAGCCAATATCTTTACTGTGTCTCCTTGCAAAGGCACAGGCCCTTCTGGTCCAGCAATTAACAAATCCGGAGGAAGTGCGGATGGGGCACTCCCTACTAGGACCAGAGCAGTTAAGGTTCTATTGACACGAACAACTGGTTCATCTGATGGTTCCATAGCAATGACCTGAAGATATAAGTTACATTCTAACAAAGAACTTGACATTTTTTTGAGGTTTAGGAAAAAAAAAGAGAGAGGTAAACATACCTTGAAACAGACAAGGTTGTCATTTTTCTTTTGTGATTTTTGGCTGCATGGAATGCAAATAGTGGAATTGCATTTCCAATTTATGTTAATTCCAAAAACATCTCCCCTTGACAAATACCTATCGACCTCAAAGTACATTTGCAATGCCAAATCAATCATGTCTTGACGTTCTTCAGATTCAACAGGTGAACTTGCTCTAATAGATTCAAGGATGCCACATTCTGGTATCTTAACAAAAGAAACCCTCAGAAGTGAGGCAAACCTTGGAGGTTGAGCAAGAGGTGCCAATTCAACGTTGATGACAGAATCGTTAACGCTTTTAGCAGTGTCTTCATCACAGTCACCCCCTTGGGATTTGAAATAAGACGCTAAAGCGTCTTCGCCATGGTGTAGAATGGATTTTAAGCATGTCATGTGCAAGTTAAGATTAAAGGCTAAAAGTGGAGATAAATAAGCAAATTCATCATCTAACAACAACGGGCCACTACGAGGGAAATCACAAGAAGGAAATACAAGCATAATTCGAGAAGAAGAAGAAGAAGAAGAAGAAGAAGAAGAAGAAGAAGGTGATTCAGTATCAGGGGTGGTACGTGGAGGATCAAGAGCAATGGCAACTGCAATTCTCTGTATGTTAATCTCAGCATTCTTGACCAGAACCTAAGAAAATTAGAAAATAAAATAAAATAAAATAATAATTATACTGTTTTTTTAACATGAAGTGGGAGAAAAAATGATAATTGAAGAGAGGGGAAATTGAATTACCAGTGAACCTGAAGTAATGGAAAGCCTTTTGAGAAGAGAAGTGGAGAGGCCAAGGAGCGCAGAATGGTCAAGAGAAAGGAATTGGGGTTGATTTTCGAGGTTGGAGAATCGAAGAATGCCAACAGGTAAGTGGAAATTGGGCAAACATTCATCATCATGGCCATGGTCATGGTCATGGTCATGGTCATGGAAGAAGAGGTTGTTGCTTGACCAAGTGGAAGAAGAGCTCAATAAGGAATTGATCACATGTTTGGTGGAACATAGTACTAGAGGCTTTCTCCTCTCCACCATTTTCATGAACAAAAAAATAAATAAAAAGCCCTAGCTTCCCAAATTCAAACCCCTCTCTCTCTCTCTCTGTGTGTGTGTGTGGATTAGGCTCAGAGCACTCACTGTGTGATGCTAAAACCTGTCGTTTTTGTTCTATTCTATTCTCAGATATTGTGTTTCTATTTACTTACTCATGCAATCTAATCTTACAATGTTTGATAGCACATGGATAGTGATCACATATGGTAACTAACAACGACATGTTTCTTAGTTCTTATTCCCTCACAGTGCGAAAACTTGTTCACGGTGATATGTCAAATTTCTCTTCTCTTCTCTTCCTATCAAAGCTTAGCTGTTTGGTCGGGGATAAATTTTTTTTTACTAGAGAAATCTAATTGATAGAAAATGAGTTTGGTAGGAAAATGTAAAAAAAAATTGTTTGGTTGACCGAAATATTACCAGGGAGATTTATTTAAATATGCAAAATCTATGTTCGGGAGAAACTTTGCACATGTTTTTTCACTTTTCCAGTTATCTCAAAATACCACATCTCAAGTGGTATTCTGTAACAGTGAATTTCATCCAAAAATCAACACAAAAGTCATTTTTCCATCTATCCTATTTGCCTAGTATTTTTTGAAAAAATCTGAACCAAACGTGGTATTTTTCAATATCCACTTACACTTTTCCATCAATCCCAAAATAAACCTTCAAACAAACACCAACAAGCAAAAAAGATAGGTGCAATAAAATGTCACGGAAATTAAAAAAAGAAATCGATACGAGCACAGAACATAGTCTATTGTACGTTAGGCCCAGATGATAGTGGAAAATGTGATGTTCCAAAAGCCCAATAAATGGGATAGACCCAAGACCAATGAAGATTGTTTGGATTATTCGCATATGTATATATTCATTAGAATAAAAACTAGGGTTTCGTTTCTTCTTTTTAGGAATCGTGTCATTTGAGACACAGAGAAGAGGGAAAAGATGGTATCCCTGAAACTGCAGAAGCGGCTAGCATCGAGCGTGCTCAAGTGCGGAAGAGGGAAGGTTTGGCTTGATCCTAATGAAGTCAATGAAATCTCCATGGCCAATTCTCGTACGCATTCCCATTCTCTCTCTTCTTACTATCATCTCTGTTCCCGTTCATCGATAGGGTTTATTTTTTTTATTTTTTTTATAAATAAATAAATAAATAAAATTTGGTTTGGATCGGAATCTTATTGTTGTTTGTGAATATATAGTCTGTAATGGCACACTGACTGGGAATCTTACGTGTAGTGAACATTATTGTTATTGTTTTTCCCTACTAATAATGTATCCATCTACCGGCGTTTTAGATTCAAACTGTTTTATTCTCATCGTGGGAATAACAAATGCTTATATCAATGAACTTGAGCATTCTACTGTCTCTTATTCTTTCCATTGGAATTTTGCTTTCTAGACTATATGAAATTTTCTTTATTTTTGTGTTATTTGAATTTATTTCTGACTGATATTTGAATTCTGAAGTTATCACTTTAGAGGGGCCTTACTTAACCAACACCCTGGCCTGAAACTGTTTGAGCAATTCCAAAGATTAAAAAGAAAAAAATACAAATAAAACTGCCTTAAGTTGTGTGTGATATATACTCTAATGTTCTGTTGTGCAAATCTTTTCCAATACTTAAAAGCTTGTTGGGTTTCGTTTGCAGGCCAAAACATTAGGAAGTTGGTCAAGGATGGGTTTATTATCAGGAAGCCAACCAAGATTCACTCCCGTTCACGTGCTCGTAGGATGAAGGAGGCCAAGAGGAAGGGTCGCCACTCTGGATATGGTATTTATTCTCAACTTTAAATGGTAAATGTAAAATAATTTTCAAAATGTAATTCCAGGCACTTTCTCAGTCAATGCATGTTTAGAAACTATGGTCACGAACTTTTTCATCATTTAGACATGTACTCATTTAAGATTGACAAAATTTGAGCTGCTTATCAATTGAAAGAATAGTGGAATTTTTTTTGAAAAAATAGCTTAGGGGACGAAGTTATCGATACTACACTACATATATGGGGAACATTGTTGGGTAGCCATAAAATGAATTGCACTCTGGCCCTTTTATCTATTTATTAATTATTATTATTATTTTGTTTGTTTCTTTTGGGGGTGCGGGGAGGATGGGGCATCGTTTGCTCATTATAATGTCTACCTAAATACTATTAGGTAAGCGCAAGGGAACTAGGGAGGCAAGGCTTCCCACCAAAATACTTTGGATGAGGAGGATGCGTGTGCTCAGACGATTGCTTCGTAAGTACAGGGAATCAAAGAAAATTGACAAACACATGTACCATGATATGTACATGAAGGTGAAGGGTAACGTTTTCAAGAACAAGAGAGTCTTGATGGAGAGCATTCACAAGTCCAAGGCTGAGAAGGCAAGAGAGAAGACTTTGTCTGATCAGTTTGAGGCGAAGCGGGCAAAGAACAAGGCAAGCAGGGAAAGGAAATTTGCTCGTAGGGAGGAGCGTTTGGCCCATGTGAGTTCCAGAGTTTTTTGAGAATCTATTTACTTGTATATTGTGTGAATTTATATTTAATATTCTAAATTTTGGGATTTACTGAACAAAGAAGTATGCTCATTGAAGTCGGTAATGAAAATTTTGACTATTATTTTTCTCTGCATATTGTTTAGGGTCCTGGTGAGAAACCATCGACAGCACCCAGTGCTCCACCTGCTACAGCACCCCAGGCTTCCCAGTAAGTATTACGTCTATGCTTATGCCTTAATTACAGCTTTTGGCCGTGATGTGTATTGTAATCTATATGTATCTCTTTTATGCAGAGCACCAAAGAAATCCAAGAAGTGAGGTAGCATAACCAAGAATCTTTAAATGGCGCTTACATAATCATTTTGTCTGCTAAAGTAGTTCGACGAATCTCATTTTTGTTGGTTTGGACTTTCTATGTTTTATAAGAACTTTATTTTTTGCATACTTACAATTATATTTTGTTAGTTGGATTTATACTGTCCTTGCCTTGGTATTAAGTTTCACCCAGTTGCGTAAATACTCGTGTCTCCCTTCATTTATGGCGCCACTAATCTCTCTCTAATTACAATTAACTGCATACGTGGAGAAATTTCTTTATATTTGGAGATAAAGAGAAAAAAGACATTGTTTTGGTACCATTTAATGCATACAACCCTAACTTTTATGTGTATATGAAATAAAATATCTCACTTACAATACGAGAAACATAAGTTTCATAATTTATTTGCTTAAACATGTTTTTATGTAAATATGATCATTTTTTTGTGTTTTAGTGTTTTTAGTTTGTAGGCCCGCCTTGTTTAAAACTGACAACGTTCAGTCTTAACCTGGTGTTTCCTAAGTCGAGGCTTTCACACTATGGGGGTTCGGAATTTTTTTTATTTTTTTTTATAAATACAAGTTTAAAATAAGAGTAATAGTATAAAATAAATATGATAAGTCAATCAAATGGTGATTGTTTAGTTGGCGTGAGGGAATTGAGTATTGTGGGTAATGGGGTTGAAATTATATGTTTGATTCTTTTTAATATAATCTATAATTTTTGAAAGGGGTTTAAAGTTTTAATTTTAAGATCTGTCTTGAATTGAAAGTCACGAGACAATGAACTAATTGAAATATCTCTAAAAAATAAAATATGATGAGTTTAAGGAAAAAAATATTTGTCATTTTAAATAATATAATTTTATATCATTTTTAATAAAATTACATCATTTCTGTGTATTTTTACATTTTCTCTTCTTCATTTCTCTTCCTAAATTTATAAAAAAGAAAAAATGTAAAAAAAATATCAAAATGACATAATTTTATTAAAAATGATACACAATTATATCATTGTAAATGATACATATTTTTTCCATTAAAAAAAACTTTTTTTGGGGGAGATTTTAGCTTTTAATTTTTTTTTATAATAAGAAATTTTATAAAAACATGTTTGGCTAAATTTTTATTTTTAAGGAAAAGAGAAATTAAAAATAAAGCATACCAAACAGATGCAATGTTATAAGGGAAATATAAGAATCATGTTGCAAGGAATGACACTGTTCCTTCCTGCAACAAAAATCCGACAACGTATCTTGAGGATATGGCGCCGTATCCTGATTTTAGTTTGACTTTTTTTTTTAAGCGTGAGACCCACACTTGATTTATGTGTGCAGAAAAATAATCTTGTCATGTGACATGAAAAAAGCAAACCCATGTTATAAATACGATTAAAAGAGTGCAATTTTAAAAGAATTTGGACAGTAACCGAAATCGAAATGATCAAAACCATAAATATATTTTAAGTGTAATATTTTCAACAGTTACCTATAAAAATATACATAGTTCCATCGTCCTGTATCAAATTTGAAGAAAAATTCTGGCTTTATTGTTCACAGGCAAACAAAAAGAATATGCAACAATCCCTCTACTCAAGGGAGAATATTTAACTACTTTTATTCAATACACAAGTCAAAGCCAACAAGTTCTGTAGATGAAGAGGGAGCTTTCACTGACATGCACTTTATTTCTCATAAATTAGAACCAACAGCTTATGTAGACGAAGAGGAGGGTTTTTGGGAGAGCAAAGCTTCAAGTGACGAATGATCAGTCACAGGGGGGCTACAAGTGAAGTTTTGGCACACAAGAGCTACAACCTTGCCGACTGCATAGTTATTCTTCGCCATGAGAGCGATATTGCTGTTGTTTATTTCCCAAAATTCCATCTCTTCCTTCTTGTTGGGATCTATATGAATAACCTACCATATAGCACCAGCATGTAATTGATGACAACCAGAAAGATATATGAAAATATCAACTTTATAGAGAGTAAATATGCTCACAGTTCTGTTGGGATCATATAATGCGTGAGCTGCAGTAAGCATGCTTTCAAATTCCTCGGAAGCCCTTTCACCAACCACGACCACTTGCTTTCGGGAAGGTACATGCAGCATGTCTGCTGCACAACACATTAGAGGCACTGCCATCGCCATATCTTTCAATCTATTCTCAAAAACTGCCTGCATTACCATTTATAGGGAATCCTAGTCAATTACAACTGACCCAGTGGTCTAGTAACAGAGCTTCCCACTAATAACCCATCCAATCATTGTTAGCACATAAAGGAAGCTTTTTGGAGAAGAGGAGAGGGGTTTACAGACCAATAGATGTTCTGCATTTCGCTTATAATGTTCAGCCTTACTTCCAGTAACCATGGAAGCCAATCTTGTAAGATTTATAGCGGAAACTGAGTTCCCAGAGGGTTCTGCCCCATCATGGTCTTCCTTCACACGGAGAAGAACCGAACGATCTTCTCCTGTATTATTGAAATATCCACCTCCATCCCTATCAAGAAACAAAGCATCCTGCAAGCAACATATCTCATAAACAACTCAAGGACTGTCAAGACAAGAAATGAAATTTCTATCGAGTCTAGACATCAATCTTTACCTGGGTTTCCTGCAACTCAATGGCCCATAGAAGCCAGTTGATTCCACCACCAAACTCATAGAGATCCAACAATCCAGAGATCAGAAAAGCATAATCATCCAAGAAACCAGGAGCTTTAGATGGAGAATTTCTGAAACTATGGTGTAGCCTGTGAGTCTCCACATCATAAAGTTGCTTCATAATAAAGGATGCTGCTTTTTCTGCAATGCTCATGTACTCCCTTGGCTGGAATTTGCACAATCAAAAGGAGGACAAAATTAACTACATTATCAATTACTCACAAGGAAAGAGTCAAGTTGGCTACAGGTGTTCCTCCAACAACCTTACCCATTATTCCCTCACCTTAACCTGCTAACTCCATTAGAAACAACCCATTGTCCAAAGCAAGAATTGTGATCAACAGTATATAATTTTACCCTTGTGATGATAATTTACAGACATCTTCCAGAAGCAACATCCATAATATAAAAGAGGAGTGCCTACCATCTTTTTAAATATTGGGAGTCATTTGACTAAAATAAAATATTTGTAGAGGGATAAACTTACTTCAGTGCCGACGACAGGAAAGTAGAATTTGGTCCCTTCAGCTTCACCCTTGAGAATCTTAGAAGCCCTAGCAAAAGATGAGATTGCCAGTCCATTCCAAGATACAATAACCTAGGAGCATAGGATCTCTTGAGAGCATACATAAAAGTTGAAACCTAAATAAATCAATAAGGTTGTTCAAGGGAAATACCTTATCGTCCAAATGTGGCCTTGACCGCTGTGACCTTACTTCAAACAGCTTATGCCTACATTTTCCAAGAATTTCTTGATATGTCTCAACTGACATGCCATACTTTGATGCCATTTCTGAAGGATCCTTTCTCTCAATCAGGACATTCTTGCCATTGAATTCATTGTGAGGATCACTCATTGTAGATAGGTCACAGTTACCCGACTGTTTTATGTAATAGTGCTCCTCAAAAAGAGCAGCATGCTCTCCAAGTATGCCTTCAACCTAAACAGAACAAAAAAAAAGGTTGAAAGCCACCTCCAAAAATAGCAAATAGACCTATCGTTAATTACAATACCTCTCTGAGAAATTGTCAAGACTCTGTAGATATAAGCACAAAATTACAAAAGGGAATCAGTATAGTAAGACACACAGCCAAGAGCTAGACATGTTCAGAAATAATTGCAGCAAAAAGCTTTTTATTTAGGAAAAATGATCTCCATGTATTATCTGCTTATTAACAACTATAATGTTCTATTTGGAAGTACAATAAAAATGCCTACCTTAACCAAACAAATATAAAATTTATTATATATATATATATATCATCAGTAATGAGATAATATTATGTTTTAGACTCTGAACAAAACAATGGATTGAAAAATATGAAATATAAGTCAAGTTCGAAGAGGTATTGTAGCTCACAAGTTACAGTGAATATTTCCAGACCAATCTAGAAAATAATATAAATAGATTGTCCTTTGTCCTTAGCAAACTAAAAGTTAATAATTAAGAAATAGGCTAAACAACACATTGTGATCTTGAAAAATACAGTTATTAATTCATGTATGGGAAAAATAAAATGATTCAATTGAATCCTTAAAGAACTTCAATTGACTGCCATGTCAGTGAATTATTGAGCATTGTCAGAAACTCAAAGGCCTTATAATGTCAGCCCCAGAAGGTCCTGTATGATTTTGGACCCAATTGAAAGATAAATTTTTTGTAATGACCCAATAATTTATTGTCTAGGGACCGGGACGTCAAAATGTATATTTGTCAGGGACCAACAATGTAACTGTAAAAAATATATTAAGGAAAGGCAGAGAAGACATGGATGAAAGACCTCTTTGCTGGTCCATATGTAAAAGGCTCCTTCTTTTTTTCTTGTTGCTCCTTCAATCTCTGCACTGTCAGCATCCTCTGCTGAAAAGATTTCACCTTCTGGACCAATCATGTCTCTCCTTAAATAATCAAGGATATCCCGTAATATACATGAATAGAAGGTATCTTTTGTGATAGAGAAAGCATCTAAATAAACATTAGCAAGCTGCCCTTGATCATATAGCATCTTCTCAAAATGTGGAACTGCAAAGATATAACAGCTGAACAATTTAATCATCTTAACAACATTTCAGAACAAACAGAATTGGATATAACAGCACATCCAAATTAACATGGCAAAATCAAATTGCTCAGGTATCTGCATATGTGGAGTAACATAGAGAACTACATCTCATAGTCATATCAGTTACTTATCAAAGATTTACTCAGAAATGACAGTTGTCCAAGATAAACTTACCATGCCAGCATTCATCCACACTATATCTGTGAAAACCCCCTCCGATATGATCATGAATGCCCCCCTTTGCCATGCATTGCAAGCTAAAGAAAACCATTTTCTGACTTTCATTAGCTCCACCCAAGTTCCCAGCATCCTCCAACTTTTTGGATCGGTAAAGCATCAAGTTGATCTCAACTGGTCTGGGAAATTTCGGTGCAGATCCAAACCCACCAAACTTTGAATCATAGCTCCCAGAGAGCTACAAAGAAAATAGTAGATTGAATGATAATAAAAAATTGAAACCTCATCATAAATTAAGGATTCAATAAAAAGTACATGCAAATATAAGAAATTTTCATGGTAGTCAATCACGGCACTAGCTCCGCCGGTTGTGCTTTGCGGAGCTTCGCCAAATCGTACCGCAATAGTGTCGTAAGGCAAAATGTCAATTTTGCCCTTATTTTAAATGTCTAACAAATATTTGAAGGGTTTTTTAGTCTTTTGCGGATTTAACTCTAAACCACTCTCTTTTTCTGCCTTACTCGCTCTTTGTTGCACCTCTCTGCTCTGCCTCTCTTGTTCGTCTCCCTCGTAGTAGGTAAGCTCTCTGCCTTTTTTTAAAAAAAAAAAAAGTTTAATTATTTATCTTTGTATTTTTTTATTATTTACCTTTTACGCTATCTGCATCTCTCTCTCATATTCGGCCTTTGTATCTGCAATTATGCAAGGGTAAGGCTGCGTACAAGGATTACCTCCAACCCACACTTGCTAGTCGGGTTTAACGGGGAATGGTTTTTATTTTGGTTTTTTATTGTTTTTTTAATAATTTGTTGTGTTACTTGTATTGAAGAATTGTTTTGTTACTTGTTGATGCTTTTGCCACTATCCTTATCCTTGTTTTAATAGCATAGTTTGATTTTTTTGAATGAATGTCTTTATTTTGGAGCATATATATGTGTGATATATTTAGGTTCTATTGGTCTATTCCGCTATTTCCGAAACCGCAACACGCTATAGCGTTATAGATTTTTTAGGGTTGGCCACGACAGGCCGCAATCTGCATTTGATAAAGAAGAATTTTCTTACAATAAACAAAAAGAATATTGCTTGGTCTATGTTGTTACAATATAAAAATCTTACAGCACTGGCTGCTATCAGCCTTAATTTCACTTTTATAAATGAGAAAATAAGATTTCTATGTCTTTAACAATTCCCCCCATCAGTCATATACAGAAAAGAGAAATCACAGAGGACAGCAAGACCGCACATAAGGAAATTCTTTTTTCTTTTTCCTTTTCTTCTCAGTATGTGTGTTTAAGAAATGGAGGGAAGGCTGTCTAACAAGATTGAAAGAGGTAGGAAAAAGTGGATGCACAAAGCCTTACCTGTTCTGAGCATAGACGCAAAGCATCGTCTGGAACACCATCAGGCAATTTATCAGAAACTGAAGTAGCAGATAATGCCTCAGAAAGCTGTTCAATTGCAAATGTTCCACTCTTAACTAGCATATCTCTCTTATTATCCCAAGCTTCTTTTACCTTTCTGTAGAAGACAGGAACAAATAGTAAACCAATAAGTACTTGAAGAGCCAGAATAATAATTTCAAACCATAGACCTGAAGTTTTACACTCATCAAAATGAGACATGCCGTCCACTGAAATTATTGACAAAAAGAGAGTCTAAGCTGGTTAATGATTCAAGCTGACTTGTGCAATAATTCTCACCTAAGTATAGTCTTAAATCCAGGTCGTCCATACTTATCATCAGGGGGAAAGTAAGTTCCACCCATCAAAGGTTTCAAATCAGGTGAAATAAACACATTCAGTGGCCAACCTCCTCCACCATACAAAGCTTGCACATACGTCATGTATACCTGAAGAAAAATTCTTTTAGTGGACCTTGTTACCGGTGAAACACCTTAAATATTCTATAAGCATCTCAGACATTCAAATTTCAAAGGGACTTCTACATAAGTTTTGGATAATTTTAAAATACCATTTTTTTTTTCATTTTTTTTTTTTTTTTGTGTTCCTTAAAATAGAACAATTTTGGAGATGATATCCTCAGAGATTTGATACATACATACATATTAATACATTAAATGAAGAGTTAAGTTACCTTATCAACATCTGGTCGCTCCTCTCTATCCACCTGTGGCATTGATATATTAAAACGGTATAGAACAAAGCAGGACAACTCGTTAACTAATGTTGACTAAAAATGGAGGGAAGATTGTTAAAATTCAAAGCAAGAGAAAAACATAAAAGGCATTACCTTAATGCTAACAAACCAATCATTCAACAACTTGGCTACCCCCTCGTCCTCAAAGGACTCGACCTCCATAACATGACACCTTAAAAACAATTCAGATTCTCAAAACTTCACCCCATTATTTAAACTAATCAAAATTCAAAACTTAACCACAAAAAATCGGAGTTTCCAGTCACACATACATACCAGTGACAAGTGCTGTACCCAACTTCAAATTGAGTCGCCATTAATATCACACAGCAAGCAGCAGTTAATTACATAAAACAAAATTCCCAAAAAAAAAAAAAAAAAAAAAATGAAGAACAAAAAGGAATCAAAACAGAATTTTCAATTACTTGATAAGAAGATAGGTGCATCTCGCTTGCGTGCTTCGGCGAAAGCTTCTTCACCCCATGGATACCAATCAACCTAAAAAAAATAATGGATTATGAGTGAAAAATGAAAAAGAAGCAATATTGTGAGGAACGTGAGAGATTAATAAAATAAGGGACTTACTGGGTTATGAGCGTGTTGAAGAAGATAAGGGCTTTGCTCGGAAGCAAGTCGATTGGTATATTTGTGGTTGGAATGAGATGTTGTTGCCATTGAAAGGACCTTGATTTTGAGAACAGGTGAGGAAGCGAAGTTTAATTTAGTGGGTAAGTGATGGTGAGAGAAGAGGCGACGAAGAAGAAGAGAGGATGAGAGGGTGTAACGGAGCATAGAAGAATAATGAAGAAGCGAAGCAATATAATAGAATTAGAATTAGAATTAGAGGGTGTTATGTTATGTTACAGTACAGTTCAGAGTAACAGTGACTCTTATTCAACGAGGAAGAGTTGCCGCCATGTGTAACTCTTTTCTTCTCAACGCTTGGAATTGCTTCTTCCAAGACAAGTGGTCCATGTTTGCTCCTTTCTCTTATTAAAAACGGATAAAACCTGGGAATTCAATAATTAATTAGTTAATAAATTGGGATACATGTATAGAATTTTCCCCTGTTGAAAACCCGGCTCGATCCTGTCGGATCGACCCGAAAAATTCAGTCACTTGGTTATTGAATCGGTTCAGGTCAAATATTAGACTGGTCACGCATCAATCCAGTTAAACCCGGTTAAAACTCGAACAAAACTAGTGAAACTCGATCAAAATCGATGATCTGTTCACCCGGTCGGGTCATGCATTTTTAAAACAAAAAAAATAAATCAAAAAATCAAAATTATTTCATCTTATCAGAAAAAAATGTAAATCTCATTTTAAAAACTTTTTGTAATTTTATTTGTTAGTATACTCTTCTACAATGAGCTCAAATTTTAATTTTCAATACCGAAGCAATTTGCGGAATCATAAATTAACATAACGTGACATATGTTATTTTAAAGTAGTTGAATTTGAAAAATATGAGTTCAATGTCATTGAGAGGTATGTTTATGGGGATTCTGAGTTGCAATTTAAATTGACATAGTAATAACGTGCATTTTTATTTATTTATGCTTCATGTTTTTGAACTTATTTAGTAAACCTTGTTTAATTCATTTTAGATATGAAAAATATAATTGAATTTATATGTTCATATTTACATATTTTTTATATATCTATATATAATCGGGTCAACCGGTCCGATCAGTGACTCAATAATCCAGTATCCCGACCGGGTCGATGTCGGGTCGGGTTTAATAATACTGGAATTTTCACTTAATTTTTATTTGGGATAAATATTTCTCAAGTTATAAGAGATAATTTTATTTTCTACATAAGTGAAAATGTGTGTGGTTTATATATGGAAAAAATAGAGAGAAAAAATATGAATCTCATATATTTTTATATATGGTAGAAGATAAATTTATCTCTTAATCGAGAAACAATACACCTTTTTCATTTACGCAGGAATATTTTTTTAATTGAAAATCCTATTACAACATTTTACATAAATTTCTTAACTTTTGAACTGGGGAAGGGGAGTTAAATGTGCCGTGACAACCACGACAATCCAGTATGCTCCAGTGGTTTGAGAAACATGACATATTAAATCATTTTTTAAGATCTCTGATAATCGACATTCATTGAATAAGTTATTTAGTTCATGTCAGAACAGTGATTTGAGTTACAACAGCTGAGATAATTTTAGGGTGTATATTTTCTTATGTTGTAGGATAGTAGGAGAGAAAAAAAGTAGAGATAAGTTAAATGTGGGTCCCACATTTTAAATTAAAAAAGAAAAGAAAAATTAATTGACACGGAAAACGAATTTGTGTAGGAAAAAATTCTTATCTCATGTAGAAGGAGATAATGATTTCCCATAATTTTATCAAAGTTTCATTTTGTTTATTTTTTGTTCCATGATATTAATTTTTGCTTTAGGGCGAATCAGGTCCCATTCGCATAGATATAAAATTAATCTCAAATCGAATTATGTAATAATTATCGAGCTCTATTCCCAAAATTCTCCTAAGATTCGAACATATGCTCTTCTGATAATTTGTTTTTCAAGAAAAATTTCTTATTGGAAGAAACAACCAATCCAATCTAGAAATAAATTTAGTGATAACTTTAATCATAATATAATTTATTATAATAAAAATACTGAATATTATGAAAAAAAGTGAGATTTTTTTTTTCATATTTCTACTTACCGGTTCATTCTTTAGGATTAATTCGGTCGGGGTCGAGAACAGTTAAGGATTCCTCCTCTCAACATATGCGCTTCTTAATCCTGAGTCTCAAACTTATATTTTTCACCTTACTATATAGTCTTGAACTGCTATCACAAGGTCAGTGCCTTATTGTAATAGAAAAATTGTCTTATATGTCCTCAAATCCGCTTTCATTCAATACGGAGCAGAATTGTAATATACGTCAAAATGAATTTGAAAATAGACAAAAATTCAACACTTTAGGATGTTGACCTACATTCCACATAAGTGTATGTCAAAATATTTGTGATTAAACGAAAATGATCTTTAAAAAGATATCCGAAGAGAAATTGTTTTCGGTGAAAGAAATGCGTTTTTTTTTTCCCTTCATATTTATGTAGTACCACTAGATAATTTTCATTTTGTTATTTCTTTTATTTATTTTTTACTTTTATTTTTTTTTTACTTTTTTCATCACGCGTTATTTATTCTTGTTGATTTACAATTTAAATTTTTCTTATGAAAATTAAAAAAATTAATAATATAAAAAAGTTTAAAAGAAAAAAGGCTTACTTTAATTCATTACGTTAGTAAAACTATTATCATATCATGTTATATCATTAAAAGAATTTCTCCTTTTCATCATCATCAATTTGTTCGTACGAACATCTTGAATAATATTGGGAGTAAATAGGCCGGACAATTTATTAAGATCTACGTTATGTAGTAGTACTACAACTCTTACTTTTTTGTTGTTGGAAGTGGAAGTGAAACTCTTCCATTATCAAAGAAAGTTGATTTAAGTAGTTTTTATTTAATTCTGTCTAAGCAAAATTTTGGATTCAAGTTGTAAAAAAATTTCTTTAGAAAAATTAATCCCATTATAATATAAATGTTCCTGACTCAGAATTAACTCCAGTGGGAATTTGAAGGAGCTGGGTATCGAAATCGCAGTTCAATACCATATAGGCATATACAATGCAGTGAGAGCACAAAACGCAAAAGTTAATTGTATCACTTTACATAATGAAACAGAATTTTACAGAGTACTATCTAATGAAATATTACATGTAAAAGTGCCCCGTAACAACATATTGACAATCAATCAACTCGGTATGTCACAAACTTTGGATGATGGGACACATTCAGGAGAACAACGACATGGCAGATCTTCCATTGTGAAAAGTAATCCATTCAAAAATGTTCCAAACATGGGGGGAAAATGTGCTGCATATCAGCCAGCCGGAGCACCTACAGATTCAGCGAGTTCTTCCAGACGTTCCTTTTGCTCCATTGAAACACAAGACTGCAAGAAGAAAGTTTTTCAATAATACAGAGCATTTTTCAGCACAGTATCCAGCTATATCCTTCCCAAAACCCCCAGTATTATGAAGTCCGACCCAGGAGTTTCAATGGTTTTGGGCTTTTCTTAATCTTTCAAATTTTCTCGTTGCAGGCCCTTGCTTACAAGCCCCATTTTCTATTAAAATTAATTGGATCTATACTTAGGATTTAGAACACCAACCCATTTTATAAAACCAAATACACCAAACAATAGAAACCCAACCCTAGGAAATTCTAACATTTTCATCTTAATACAAACCTGCCTTCCAAAAATAGTACCTAAATATTAAACAAGCCACCTCAAAGTGCAAAGGTGCTCCCATATTAATCAATATATTATAAATATAAATACCATCTTCTAAGCATGTATTATACGCAGTCAGACAGTGGGAAACACAAGAAGAAAGAACAAATTAATGCCAAGAGAGGTATGCTAGATAATATACCTGGACAGCATTTTCTATGTCACCATTAAGAAAAGAGGTGAGCTCAAAGTTCATCTTTAATCTGTGGTCAGTAACCCTGTTGTCCTATTAAGAAAATTTAAGTGTCAAAAACTGCCAGTAAACAACCATAATCTCACCAAGACAAAATCAAACTTTAATAAAACCGTCCCAGCTATTCTACCTTAAACCACTATTCTGACAGGAACTACATAACTCTAGATCACTGAATCTTTTTCACTTCATTCGAGGAATGTGATTATCAGAGATCACAAAAAATACTTTAATATATCATGTTTCTCATATATCTTCTCTTAATTTTCTTTCTAACTAAACAGCGTCAACGTTTTCGAAACTCTTTAAATTTTGGATGCGGATTGGAGAGACTAACGAATGCGAGTAAATGTGTGGAAAAATATTGAGACTGCTACATTTAGTACCTTATAATTGTATGTCCGAATTTTTTCTGCACGTGCACCTGTACCAACCTGTAAATGTGGCAAACATTTTAATTCAATATCTATTGGCTCGACCAAATAGCAAGTACACCAAATAAATTATGACTAATGCAAATCATGACATATAAATGCTAACTGCTAAGCATACCAATATTTGATCAAGTTCTGACATCCAATTAGGCAAATGGAAATTGATCTCGTGGAGGTAGTGATTTGCTTATGGATTATTGATAATCAAGCAACATCACACAAATCAGAGCAGTGGGGTTTGGAATTACTGTGTTATAGTTGTTGATGCAGTTCTGCTGTGTTTGTTGTTGAATGAAATTCTGGTTATCAAAGAAAACAAAAGAGGCATATATATTTCTTCTGACATGTTGCCTGTATATCAGCCTATGTATCTAAGTACTCTGCATATGACATCTAAGGCAACAATGGTTTAACGAGACCATGCCAACAATTCTATTATTGCAAAGTTAATAAAAAAAAAAGGTTGATCCTAGGTTGTTCTCTAAGGGTGACATAAATATGCCGTGATAATTTACAAATAACCCAAAGAACCAATAAAGAATCAGCATTAAGGCATCAACAAGCACAGGAATCCAGTCTACTCCAGCCAAACAAAAATCTCATGACTATTTCAAACACCAACACAGGAAGTAGCATACCTGAGATTTCCTTTCATTTCGTATTGACTCTTGCTGCTCTCTTACCTTCATCTCATATCTATAAAAGGAGCTTGTATCATTTTTAAATACAATATACTAAAGCAAATAGGTTAAAGAGAACGCTCAGAAAATCTATACTAATGTGCTCATAGCTTTGGTCGGCTTTAGGCTTCATGACATTAATATCCTTTAGTTCCTCATGCATAATTCAACTCAAGAAAGGACTGGAATATCTATCTTGTGAACATGTATTCAAGAGGAAAAGGAAGAAAATTTGAAATCACTGCAGGCAAAAACACAACTCAATTCTATAACCAGACTTGTGAAGTTGACAAAAATAACTAGATGGCAATGTTGATGCTTACAGTTTTGCTCTGAGCAACTGAAAAGCACGATTCCTATTCTGAAGTTGCGTCCTTTCTTCAGTACAAAAGATGCGGATTCCCGTTGGTTTATGAAAAAGATCAATGGCTGTTTCAACCTTGTTAACATTCTGGCCTGCAAGATATTTTTGCATGAGAACTGACAGAAATTTGTCTCTTGTTAAGGAAATAGAAAGACTGATCACTTGACTGAAACAGCTTCATGTTCATAGATTTATACCTCCAGCACCCCCAGAACGTGCTGTTGTCAGTTCAATATCTTTTGGGTCGATTTCCACTTCAACTTCATCAGCCTAGATAAAGATTTCAGATCTATAAATTTCGATGTTGTTCTTAAAAGAAGGAAGGCATATGTTGTATCAGTAGGCTAAAAGTTATATTCTTAAATCACATATGAATTAAAAAAGAAATAATAGAATAAAGCATCAATCTCTAATCACAATGAAATCTACCTTCCACAAGATTAGACAACAAAATTTAGATGACATTACTTGCCTGTTTGGGAGCTCTTATTTTTAGCTTCTCTTCTTCTTATAAGCAGAAGCTTAGCCAAACATAATTTTACAAAAGTTTATATAAAAAGAGCTTTTTTTTTATGATGAAAAAAAAAGAAGAAGCTAAAAGCTACAAGGAGGAGCTTTTTTTAAGATGTATGTCAGCTTTTTAAAGTTCTTATATTTATTTTTCCAACTTTACCCTTAATATAAACTTTTATTTATAAATTTTTATCATTTACCCTAAGAACATATCATTTCATCTCTCTCCCTTCAATACCCTAAGAACAACTTTATATAATTATCAAACAACCTTTAACTTTATTTCTAAGCTCTTTTTTTTTAACTTTAGCTTAAAAGTAGCTTTTTAGCTTAAAAAAAAGATGTGCCAAAGGCTCTACATCATGTCTACTTCAAAACATTTTAGGCTTAAGCTGGCTACTTTTATGATTCAGATAGATCTTTACACAAAAACAGCAACTTTTGGAATAAAATATCAAATTAACAATTGTCCAAATACAAAGACTTTAAAAAATGTTTTCAAACCAAGATGTTACAGTCATAAATAATTTATTGCTAAAAGCCTGAAATATGTACTCCACCTCTGGCATGATGGCCACAGTTGCAGTAGAAGTATGCACTCGGCCCTGTGTTTCTGTTAGAGGAACACGTTGAACTCGGTGGACACCAGATTCATATTTTAATTTACTGTAGACACGTTTTCCTTTTATCTCCATCACATAAGTTTTGAATCCTCCTTTTTCTGCCTAAAAGATGGCAAAAAAAAATTATACAAATTACAGAAGCAATTAGAAATTATTTTTTAAACAGTTTTCATGAGGAATACCTCAGAGCATGAGACAGGAGAAAACTTCCAAGAATTCTGTTCACTATATTTTTCATACATTCTGACCTGATTTAACATCAAAACAGCATCAGAGTATGCTTGCAATTGAGCTTCACATTAATGGTTCATTCCTAAAACATTTAAACTAGAGCAATCAAAGATGCTAGAGTGGAAAAACAAAGGAAACAAATCTTAAAGACAGTTAAACAGTACAGAAATGATCCAACAACAGGATTATTATATGCGTGTGTACTTTATGCACTCTGCAAACAAGATCAATGGACATAATATTAACCACTTTTACTTTGTGCACTCTGCATGCAGGACCAATGGACATAATGTTATCCACTTTTTGCCATTTTCAACCCATGGGTCAGAAAGGACAAATGAAAGCATGTACCTACAAGATCACCAGCCCATATTCCAGCCTCGTCACCACCAGTACCTGCTCGAACTGTAAAAGTGAATGATTAGATAATAATCTTAAGAGCTTGAAAAACTAAATACAACAAATGGAGATAATAATATATCAATATGTCAAGCTTATTTATCCAGAAATCCGGAATGGGTCTTCAGTGAGATGTAGAAGATGGGGAGCCTGAAAATATGCCACTGCCTAGTGCCTGTGATGTATCGGCACACTTGTACTTACTCTAATGGGAAAATTAAAAAACAGTAGCACTAATGAATTGTAACCATTCAATCCAGTTATGTGCATATGATGTTGCAATATAAGCTTTATCAAATTCTCACTTTTATCAATTTAATAAACTTCTTAATCTGACATATTTTCTACATCTCCCATTATTAAAATGCAAATAATATTTACATTTTTAGAAATTAGCTTTATGTTTTGGAGCATGAGTCTCGGTCATGAAACATTCAACTAAGCCATAAAGTAAAATCATTTGGCTCCAACGATATAATGTAAAGAAAGAGACAATGTACCTTCAAGCATTATGTTTCTTGCATCCAGAGGATCACTTGGAAGCAGCAACAACTATCATTGCATAAGACAGCATTGGTAAGTTTATAAAAACTCAGGAAAATGGGAAAAATAAAAGGAAATAAAAAGAATGGGAAAGAGAGGCTTGAAAACTCAAGATAGCCAAGGAATGATGAGAAAAAACAAAGGAGAGGATATTTCAGGCATGGTTTTGAAAAAAGAGGAAATTAAACTCATGATAGCCAATGAGAAAAGAGAGTGCATGCGATTAGAATGTCAAACGAGACTTAATATTCGTCTGCATGGTTTTGAAATTTCAGCTGATTCAACATTCTGAATTGATGATTGCTACATTGGTATTGAATTAGAATAAGCAAACAAAATACAAACTTTAAAGTGAAAAGGTTCCCCGGGACAATAAATGCTAAGAAGAAAAAGATTTTACAAATGAGCATACAACGGACTTTATTAATTAGGGTATTGGAGACTAAAACACAAGTCACAAGCAGTGACAAAAGAAAAAAATTGTAACTTGCGATACAAAGTAAAAAAAAAAAACCTTAATCTTGTCCTCAAGCTCTGAGAGTTGCTTAGACAAAGAGTCGACTTCATAAGATATCATTTCCGCCATATCCTCATCATTGCCATCATCCTTTGTTAAAGCTAATAAGATATCACGTTGATTACTAAGAGTTAGAGAAAGCGATTAATATCAATCATCCTCCAACTTCAAAGTGTATAAAAAAAGGATTAACAAGCGAGAGTTCAGTAAACCTTTGGTTTCTTCTAGCATCTTCTCACACTCTTTAAATCTCTTGTAAGTGGACACAACCTAGACCACATTTAACATTACATAAATACAGTGTCTTCAACGGAAGGGTGAATGGCCATGAATATGAGATATTATAAATTAGAGTACCTCATCAAGCTCTGACACTGACTGTGCCAACTTCTGGTATTCACTAGGATTAGACACAATATCTGGATCTGCAAGCTTGACCTAAAATTTTTGCTTTCAGAGAAAATTGTTTTGAAGAAAACAGGGAGAATAATGAGCAGAGAGAAATACCGATAATTCTTTCCAGGTCTTCTGAGCGGATTCCAGCTTCATTATTAGGTAAGGTTCCTGTAATGAAAATAAACACAAGTGAAGCAATTACAACAGTGGATTAAACTAATTTATATAATAAAATGGATTATATTTCAATAATCTTTGTTTTTGGTGAGGTACCGCCATGCAGGCGATTCTCGGAGAAGTGAATGTGGTGGTGCTGGGTGCAAGTGTGACTCGTCTGTTAATGAATTGATGAAGGGAACGGTGTCGTATAGGAACTATGTCGCGGCGTGTAGCACATATTCGAGATGTGAAGCTCGGCGTTAAGCTACTCATGGTAATGGTAATGGCCACGCACACAGAGCGAGCAATGCCAGTGAAATTCAGATAAAGAAGGGGTAAGATACGGATATGGAGAGGGATTGGGTCATTGTTTGGATTAGAGACTGTTCGGGTTGGGCTTAAAATGTGTATGTTTACTTTTTTGTCAGAGCTGGCCTGTCTCCTCATGTTGGGCTCTTTATTTAGTCTTTAACCAACAAAAGCTTTTCCATTTGCTGTCAATATATTTTACTTTTTTTTTTTTTTTTTGGGTTAACCTATATAACTTGTAACCAGTGTTTTAAAATTCGTTTAGTCATTGACTCGAATGAGGTAATCAGTAGTTCAATCAGATTTTAAAATAATATATAATAAATATTAAACTATGAATATTATGTTCAACAAATAAAAATGATCAAGTGGTAAATCTTTCAATCCTTAAACAAAGTGACTTATTGCTTACAAAATGTATATATTTTAGTTAATCTAATATAAACTTTAGTCGACTTGGCCGGTCCGATTTTTAAAAGAATGGTTCTAACTTCTAACCCCTATTGTCGAAGAAAACAATAAATTTTTAGATCATAATTTATTACGATATAAAATGTTATACTACCATCTCATGTTGTATTATAAAATTATTAAAATAATTTTACATCTTATATAATTCGTGTCGTAATAAGACAAAATTAGTAATAATATTATATGAAATAGGTTATTTTACCTACCCTTGCCTACCTCTTTCAATATCGTTAGATTACAATCCCATTCGACGGTATACATTTGCGGAATAAAATAAACCCTTTCTTCTCATTCTTTTTCCTCACTTCTTCCCGCACCCTTTCTCTCTTCCTAGTGACGAAGATCGAAAATTTCAGTAACGCAAAATTCAAATCCTCCAAAAAGAAAAACACATATTCAATAAAAAAAAGAACGAAAAAGATAACACTATCGATCTTAGAATATATTTCATTTCTGTTATTTTGTTTTCTTCATTGTATTTGGATTTCTGCCACCTCATCAGTGGATGTAACCGTTTAGCACTTTTTGCGGATCTAGCTGCATTCTGTTTTTAGGTTGCTGATATATTCCCACAAAGGATACATTGTACTCAGTGAATTTAGTTTTTTTTCTGAATAATGAAAGTTAGTTTTCCTTTCCAAATTTTCTGGGCTTCAATATCTAAAATGGTATCAGATGATATTTTCTAAACCTCACCTATGGCTCGAGGTACAAAATCTACTTCCAACTCTCCAGCTCCTGCTTCTGCCTCTACTTCTATTCCATCCTCTACTTCTATGGAGGATGTCTCTAGCCCCTACCATCTTCATAATGGTGATCATCCGGGTCTCATCCTTGTTCCCCATACTCTTCTTAGGACGAATTTTAATTCTTGGCGCAGGGCCATGCTCTTAGCACTGACCGCGAAGAACAAAGTTTTCTTCGTTGATGGCTCTCTTCTTCGCCCTTCTTCCGATGATCTTCCTTTTCCTTCCTGGAATAGATGCAATTCAATGGTTACCTCCTGGCTTCTTAATTCCATTTCCAAGGAGATTGCAGACAACCTTATCTATTTCACTACTGCTTATGATCTCTGGTCTGACCTTCGTGCTCGCTTTCATCAGGCGAATGGTCCACGCATTTTTCAGCTGAAACAACAGATCTCATCGCTTCATCAAGGTGCCTTTGATGTTAATAGTTACTACACGAAGCTCAAAATCCTATGGGATGAACTCCAGGATTTTTCTCCTACGCTTCAATGCACATGTGGTGGCCTTCGCTTACTCCATGCTTCTCAACAGCAGGACCATGCTCTTCAATTCCTCATGGGGCTTAATGAGTCTTTTTCTTTGATCCGTGCTCAGATTCTGCTTATGGAGCCGCTACCAAGTCTCCCACGAGTTTTCTCTCTTGTTTTGCAAGAGGAACGTCAGAGGCAGATTTCAACCACACTCCCTGTCATGACTGAGATGCCCCTGCTCAATTCAGTTGCTGCTTCCGGTGTTCTTGGCTCTTCTCCTGCTATTTCTTCTCCTATGGCTGCTGCTATGAATAATCCTCGCCGTAATCGCCCTTTCTGCACCCACTGCAACATTCATGGACACAACAGGGATAAATGCTTCAAGATTCATGGTTTTCCTCCGGGTTACAAGCCTAAATCCCCTAGACCCAATTTTCCTTCACCCTCGGCCCAAGCCCATATGACCTTTAATTCCCCTCACCCGAACCATGGGCCCAATGACTCAGGCCCTGTTTTTCCCCAACTGACTTCGGACCAATACTCCAAATTACCCCACCTTCTTCAATCCAACCTTGGCCCTCTTTCCCCACCGACAGCCTCCACCTCACCACCGACAGATTCATCCTCTCCCACCGTCGCCAGTTTCAGTGGTATGCCATCTTCTTTATCTCCCTCATCTTGGGTAATAGACACTGGAGCAACTCATCACGTTGTTTTCTCTTCTCTATTTTTTAAATCCTCTTCTTCTGATTTTAGTTCCACTATTTCCCTTCCCACTGGTTCTTCTGTTTCTGTTGCGTCTACAGGCTCTGTTTCTCTATTTCCGTCTGTTATTTTGCAAAACGTTTTGCTTGTTCCGTCTTTTTCTTTTAACCTGTTGTCTGTTAGTGCCCTTACTCGTGATTCGTCCATCACATACTGCCTTTATTAATGCCCTCTCGTCCTACTTTGAACCTTCAACTTTCTCTGAAGCATCCCAACTTCCCGATTGGTGTGCAGCCATGGATGCAGAAATTTCAGCTTTGGAGCATAACAACACTTGGAAGATAGTCTCCCTACCCCCTGGTAAACGTCCCATTGGTTGTAAATGGGTTTATAAGGTAAAATACAACTCTGATGGCAGCCTTGAAAGATACAAAGCCCGTTTGGTTGCTAAGGGTTTTTCTCAACAGGAAGGTGTTGATTTTTTGGAGACTTTTTCTCCTGTGGCAAAAATTACAACTGTTCGTGTTTTGCTTTCCCTTGCTGCCATTAATAATTGGCATTTGATTCAACTTGACGTTAACAATGCTTTTTTGCATGGAGACCTTGTTGAAGAGGTATACATGTCTCTGCCTCCGGGTTATTTTGGAAAGGGGGAGTCCCTTCCTCAACGTGCAGTTTGCCGTCTTCAAAAATCTCTTTACGGACTCAAGCAAGCATCTCGTCAATGGTTTGCAAAATTTTCCAGCACCTTAATCTCTCTTGGATTTATTCAGTCATCCTCTGATCATTCTTTGTTTACTTATTTCACTGACACTTATTTCATTGCTGTGCTGGTTTACGTGGATGATATAATACTTGCTTCTAATAACTCTGTTGAGATGCATACTCTTGCTTCTTCGTTGAATGGCATATTTAAATTGAAAAATCTTGGAGCTCTCAAGTATTTTTTGGGTCTTGAGGTAGCTAGATCACACCGTGGAATTTTTTTGACACAACGTCAGTATGCTCTGACCATTCTGCAAGACTGTGGTCTCCTTGGTTGCAAGCCTCAGTCCACTCCAATGGAAGCTAATCTGCGCATGTCTACTGAATCAGGGGATCTTCTCCCTGATCCCACTCCTTATAGACGTCTCATTGGGAAGCTCCTATACTTAACAATTACAAGACCTGACCTTTCTTTTGCAATTAACAGACTTAGTCAGTTCATGTCTGCACCTCGGGTCCCTCACATGCAAGCTGCCCACCGTGTTCTAGCATATATCAAACGCACTGCTGGCCAGGGTCTCTTTTTCTCTGCCACTTCTACTATACAACTTAATGCTTTCTCTGATTCTGACTGGGCTGCATGCCCAGATAGTCGTCGATCTGTTACTGGCTACTGCATCTTCATTGGTGACTCACTCATCTCTTGGAAGTCCAAGAAACAAGGAACCGTCTCCCGTTCTTCTGCTGAAGCTGAATACAGGTCTATGGCCAATGTTACTTGTGAAATTCTTTGGCTGTTCTCTCTACTCAAGGACCTGCGTGTTACTCATACATCACCTGCACACTTGTTTTGTGACAATCAAGCTGCTCTTCACATTGCGGCTAATCCTGTATTTCATGAACGTACCAAGCACATTGAAATTGATTGCCATGTCGTCCGTGATCAAGTTACTAAAGGCACCCTTCAGACTTTTGCTGTTTCTTCTTCACAACAACTTGCTGACATCCTCACCAAAGCTCTTCCTCCTGGTCTCTTCTTCTCTATTCTTTCCAAGATGGGAGTCCTCAACATACACTCTCCATCTTTAGGGGGAGTCTTAGAATATATTTCATTTCTGTTATTTTGTTTTCTTCATTGTATTTGGATTTCTGCCACCTCATCAGTGGATGTAACCGTTTAACACTTTTTGCGGATCTAGCTGCATTCTGTTTTTAGGTTGCTGATATATTCCCACAAAGGATACATTGTACTCAGTGAATTTAGTTTTTTTTCTGAATAATGAAAGTTAGTTTTCCTTTCCAAATTTTCTGGGCTTCAATATCTAAAAATCGACGACCATCAAACGTGCTTGTCCTTAGGGTTCATAGAAAGCCGTCGCATTTATACGAAATGTAATATTGTTGTCGCATTTTTTATTCTGATCTTTGCTTGGTAGTTGGAAGATTGGTACTATGTCGAAAGCTTCACATATTAAATATATTACGATTGACGACCATCAAACACCACCCTAGCACTCCATCGTCTTACCAAAAGCGATTTTTTTTGGTGAGGTTTGTCTTTGCAGTGAGATTTTTTATTTTTTTACAAAGTGAACTCAAAACCCTGAACCTCTTTTGGGAAGTTAATCTATGGTGAATGGCCAAACTCAGGAATGTTGTATTCTTCACAACACCAAACTAGATCTCATACATAAGCTGATCAACTTACGAGTTAAATTTTTTGAGTAACTTAACAAACAAAAAAAGAATAATGGTAGAGAATGTTTTATTTTTTCCCTAACAAAACAAAAAAAGAATAAGGGTTAATGTATGTAATTTTTTTGCAAGTACATCTTCTTCATCGCAACCGTTAGAGAGAGAAAGGGAGGAGTTAGAGAGACAAAAAAACAAAAAAAGAGAGTAAAAAT